TAATAATAATAATAATAATAATAATAATAATAATAATAATAATAATATCACCCCCACCTCTCCCTGCCCTCCAACAGCAGATCACACGAGCCATTTAATGGGCTCCATTGGTAAATCTGGTTTGTATTTATGACGGTTTTAGTGTCCCTGGGATCAGATCTTTTGAGAGCTTCTGCCAAGGAGAAGCCAAAACGGGGAAGCCAGATTCACTTAGCAACTTGAACAATGGCAGTAATTCACTTAATAACGGTGGCAAGAGAGGTCGTATCATGGGGCAAAACTTGCTTGTTTTGTTTAGCCACAGAAATCGTGGCCGTAAGCCGAGGGGCTACTTCTGTAATGCAAGGACTTTTCTGGCCTGCAATTCAACAGGAGCAGCGCAGAGGCCACCCCGGTTCAAGGCAGAGGTGAGGTGGGGGGGGGGAAGGGGGGGGAGATACTGCCCCCAAATGGATCTGGGTGAGATGTAAACAATTAGGTCAACCTCGGTTTTTCAGCCGAGATAATTCCTGGTGGGTGAGACAGGAACAAGGAAGTGGGGTGGGGTGGGGTGGGGGAGAAAGGCGGTATTGGTCATCGGGCTTTTGAGTAGCCAGCTGCAGTAGATTGAACAGAGGTCTGAAGAGATTTAGAGGGGTGGGAGGGGAGGGAGGGGGAGGCAGAGACACTGGAACGGTGTCAAGGATCACTTGCAATCTGTCTGGTTGCAGATTTAAATCCCCTCCTCCCATTTAAATCTTCTGTTTGGAAGAGAATTACAAGGCAGAGACGATGACAAAAACTGTGTGGCTATATAACAATCCCACCCCTGAAAATTAATATGGTGAGTCCTCGACTTAACGACCACCATGGAGCCCCAAATTTCTGGGGGGTGGGTGGGTGTTAAATGAGAATTGGTTAAGCGAGTTTTGTTCCATTTGACTTTCTTGCCACCTGCCTAAGGAGGTTCTCAGTCCTCCAGGTCAGTGGTCGCCAACCAGTGGGCTGGGGACCATTGGTAGCCCGTGAGAAAATTTTGGTGGTCCGCAGAGAAATGTCACCCCCAAAGCAATTCATCCAGGCTGCGCGGGAACAGGAGGCTGCGCCGCCCACATGGCCCGCGGGAACACAAGGCTTGCGTCGGTTGCATTGCGCACAACACAAGGTAGTGAGGGGAGAGGGAAAAGGGCAGAGGGGGGGACTTGTCCCACTTGCCCCACGCGCCTCACCTGGCCACCGGGTTGCTTCTTTCCGCTTCTTTCTTCTTCTGCTTTTGGCTGCATGCAAGGAAAGCAGCAAAAGTCTTTCTTTCTCTCCCCCAAACTCTGCCAGAAATGAGTCTTTGGGACCCTGCAAGGCCTCCTTGCTCCAAGAGGCTGCGCCGACGTGATAAGTCTCATAAAGAGTCATTTCTGGAGGAGTTTGGGGGAGAGAAAGAAAGACTTCTGCTGCTTTCTTTGCATGAAGCCAAAAGTCTCTCTCTCTCTCTCCCCCTGAGAACGGAGCTGCGATCCCAAATAAAGAATGATCGATCGGTATGAAAACGGGATGGGGAATTTTCCTGCAGACGTTTTTTGGGGGATTTTCCCAGGGTCTCCGTTCTATAAGATTTAAAATCATGAGTTTGGTGGTCTCTGAGGTCCAAAAGGTTGGCGACCCCTGCTCCAGGTCATTGATTGTCCCAAAGGTGTGGGTTTCCCCCCCCCCCCCCCCGCGCCACCCCCCCATCTAGTTTTTCTTTCAAAGCCGTTTCGCTTCTCCTCCAAGGAGCTTCTTCAGCTCTGGCTGGACGATGCGGGAATGAAAGGATTGATGCTCCTTTCCTTGCCACCGTTGTTCAGAGAATAATTGCCATTGTTAAGTCAGAATCACGGTTGTTTAAACAAATCTTGGCTTCCTGCACGGACTTTGCTAGTCGGGTGGTCATAAAAGAGGATCACGTAACACCAAGACACTGCAACCATCGTAAAGTCGAGTCAGTGGCCAAGGGTCTGAATTTTGATCACGTGACCACGGGGGTGTTGCAACGGTCATAAGTCTCAAAAACTTTTCCAGCACTGGTGTAACTTTGAACAATCACTAAACGAATTGTTATAAGTTGAGGGACTCCCACTGTATTGAAGCTTTCTCATGGGTGGAAACTAAATAGAATGAAAGTCTGGTCCAAATTTCACACCTGATTTACTTGCGGAAGGTTTTTTTTTTTTTTGTCTACTACCTTTCGCTAGCGATGTTTGCTGGGTATTATGAGCATTGCAATCCCTCCTTTCTCATGCTCCTTGGGATGGAGGAAGGCAGGATTAAGCCCCCTGGCCTCGGGGCGGGTGGGTTTGTAACTCATTTAGGACTCTGGGTTAAAAATGGCAAGTGGCATTTTCATTTGCACGCAGGTGGATTCATGGTTTTTCCTAGCACGGATGAGGTTACCTAGTATGGTAACGAAACGTCTGCAAGGAAACAAGCAAGCTTAAGAGAGCACCGCGGGCCCCTCATTTGAACCCTGACCTACAAATGTTCTCCTTTTAATGGTTTTCCTTGGATGCCTTTTTAGGATCCTTGTCCACAGAGGTGGCTGTCCTGCCCTTGTTGGAGTCTGATTCTGAGGGGGAGATTGAGCAGCGGACAGGGAGTGGGAGTGTGGCTCCGTTAGCTGTGGGGGAAACGGGGGAAGGGCACAGTCCAGCTGGGCATTCAGAGGAAGACCAAGGGCCACCCCCCTCTTCATCCTAGGGCACGCAGGGAGGAATGGAGAAGGGAGCAACATGGCTTATGGGAGAGAAAAGGGCCCTGATCCCTTTCATTAGTTGCAGCTGGGAGAATAGGATATAAGAAGGGCGTTTGCACACAGCACCTTGCTGGAAGCAAAGCATGCATTATCTTTGTCGAGGCTTCTCTGGGTTTTGGCGTTCTCCCAACTGTGTGTGCGTTGTTATCTTTTGAAAGTCTGCAATTTATTATCCTGGCCTATCGTGTTAATTTACTTCAGCGTGGTTTGTGTTGGTTTTTTTGTTTCTAATTTATCTCTACTTTGGGTTCGGACTGCATTTCTTCCCTTTGTAGACGGTTTTTGGAAGAGTTTGATCTCCAGCCGAGGATAACTGGACATTGAGGGCCAAGTTGGAGGCATTAAAGGGAATTTATTCTACTTTGCTGACTGTTATTTTGTGCCATGCCCTGGGTCATCACAGTGGCCCTTTTTTAAATGCTTAGCGTTGGCTTGATGCCTGTCGCTGTTGTTCTCCAAAATGGGGACAAAAAAGAGAAATGGGGGGGAAAATGCTTTCCTGCCCCTCCCCCAAATGGAGGCAGGACCACACATCTATTGAAGCTAATAGGCTTTAACAAAAATATGCTGTTATTTTGATGAAGCAACACATATAAAATGATGCAATACAGTCGATTTACATGCAACTGTTTTGTTTGCAAAATTTATCCTCTTCCTGTCATCGAGAAGGGGGAAGCATCTAGAGATATGAAAACATCACCTGCCGATTCCTAAAAAATGTTGTTCAGTCTTACCCAACTCACCTTCCTAAGCCCCTTGAATCATCAACCTTACATCATCATCTTGGTCCTGAGGATTGGAAATTTAGAAAAACAAACAGTTCTCGCCGTGTTGAATTGTGGTTCAGTACAATAACCAAGCAGGGGAATTGTAACGGCTTCAGACAACTCATAATAAGCAAGCAGCCTAATTATTTTTGAGGTCTACCAACTCAAGCTCTGGCAAAGCCCCAATTTTTAAAGTCACGCCTGTAAATTTTGAATGGCACTCATTATCCCCCCCCCTTTTTTTTGTTGGATCTTGTTGAGAAAATTAGGAGGAAAGAAAAACGCAATCACAAATCTGCCTTTGGTACAAAAACACACACCTGCATTAGAAAAAAAGCACAATGAGACACTTTTTCAAAAATATACAGATCCGTTTATTAGTTGGTTGGTTCCTCTCATTTTTCTCTTGCTTAAAAGACCTGGGTGTCCTCAAGAAAACTTCCTGTGTTTTTTTTCCCCTTTTCCTCCACCCAAACTAAAATTTTGTTTTTGTTGTGCGTGAATTCTATTTTTCTTTTTTTTTCCTGCCCTGCTTAAGGACAGTGGAATTACGAGCAACAACACAGAGGCCTTAAACAGACAATTGAGTGAAATGTTCTGTCTTTTTTTTTCGTCTGGCAGGGTTGAGGTGCCATAAGGTGCTTGTATCTTAAACCTGTTCGCCAAACAGGAAGAATCGTCTCAATTATTCTGGGAGAAGGGCTGAGGTTTTTGAACTGGTGAAAATGGTGCCTTAGCCTTCTGTAAGATCGAAGGCACGTGTTTCAGATTTTATTATGGTGCCTGCAAGAGCATCAGGGTTTATAGGGTTGCTTGTTCCCAACTTAGGTCAAGAAGGGATCAGCTGAGTTTTAAACTAGCTTCTTTAGCATTTTTTAAAAAGGAGAAATAAAACTTGAAAGAAAGCAACTATACCTTTCACCTGAGCAGGTATATAAGATCCTCATATAGATAGGATCACATCAGCAAAAGAAGGGAAAATTCCAGAAATGGGACATCTATTCTGGATAGTGCCAATAAGATGCCAATGTGCCCATTGGCCATATCGGCACAAAATTCACTCCTACCGGCCTTTCTTCTTTGGGATACGGTGGGGACGAGGCTGGCGGAGAGGGAGGGTAAACTCCAAATCCGTTTTCGGTCCCACCGCAGCCGTCGACCTGTCCTTCTGATGGATCAGGTTGGTATCTTCCGCAGTGATGGGACGGATGATCTGGCCGGGTTGAGTGATGATCCGGGGGGCCGTCAGCTGTTGGAAAGCCCGTTGCGTGTTCCACGTGGAGCCCACGGGCACTTGGATGCTGCGTTCGAACTGTTGGCTGCTCTCGAAGGGGAAGGGAAGCTGGTTCACCTGTGGGAAGGAAGGGGTCTGTCGTGGTATGCGAGAAAGACCTTGGGGGGGGGGGAGGACGTGATGCAGACATGCTGTCTAGGGCAAGGGTCACCAACCGGTGGTCCACGAGAAAATTTTGGTGGTCTTGCTATCTGGTCATGTTTCCTGGCTAGTCTGTCTGGGAAGGCTGATGGGATCACCTGTCAGCCCCCAAAAGGAAAGATTGAAAAATAGAGTATGATATTGTCTGAATCTGCACTGGCAATAGACTTATATTCTGAGCCCTGTCAGGATCGAACTCCAGGCTGTGGGCAGTGTTACACTTTAACCACTGCGTCACCAGGGCTCATTCAAGTCAGCAGAGAATAAGGCAGCAGAGGCATATCTGCCCTGTGAGTTAGCAATTATTTTTAAACTTAAGTTGTTTTCATTTATTTTCCCAAGTTCACAATTTGTAAAACACGGATATTCGGCAACATGCATCCTGAATCTAAGTTCTTAGATATAAAATAATGGTCTGCTTTATACAATCTATTAAGATTTAGATATTGTTTCAAGTATTTGCACAGCCAAATTTTTTTAAAAAAGAAAATGCCCAAAGTTTTGCAATATTTCAAAACACTCACCCATGCAATCTTCAGAATAATTTTAATATGATTTCTGGAAATTATATAAGATTCTCAGAAATTAAAAAAAGCTTTAAAATGTATTTTTTTCTTTAATATTTGATTCCTATGGATTTGATGTAAGCACATTGTAGGTGCCATTCCTATTCCTTTTATATCACAAGCTCGGTACACACAATTCATTTAAACCAGGTAAAAGATGGAATAGTGGCAGAGGTGGCATTCAGCAGGTTCTGACCAGTTCTGGAGAACCGGAAGTGGAAATTTTGAATAGTTCGGAGAACCAGCGAATCCCACCTCGACTGGCCCCGCCCCCATCTATTCTCCGTCTCCTGAGTCCCAGCTGATTGGCTGGGTCTTCCTTGGTTGCCCTGCACAGGAGAATGGAGCTGGAAAGCAGGCTAGTGGGGTGAGGAGAGAATGGGAATTTTGCAGTAGAATGGGAATTTTGCAGTATCCTTCCCCTGCCACGCCCACAGAACCGGTAGTAAAAAAAAAAAAAATTGAATCCCATCGCTGAATAAGGGACAGCATTCTTACTCTAAACAGGTTTATATTTTTGGTAGCTTCGCACGTTGGTTAAACTCAGGCCACTTAATTCTTTTCCAATTCATTGTATTGGTCGAACCCCGAAAACAGGTTAGTTCAAAGACCAAATTAAGTGCTTTGTGTAAAAACCAGCGAGGGTGTGTGGTTCATCTGATTTGGAGCTAGCCTGGCTTGTGAATCTGTCGGCTTAGCTCTGCGTTGTTGTCCTAACAATTCTGGCTTGCTTTTAAACGGGAACGACTCTCGTGAGATGGGCAGCTGAATCAATCGAATCAATAAATCCGATTAAACACACAAAATTTTCACGGGAAGAACCATCCTGAAGAAGGAACGTTGACCTCACCTGATGAGCTGCGGCTAAAACATTCCGCCGTTCGTTCAGCAGGACATGGGGCAGGTGCCGATCTTTCCTTGGGGGTCCAGGCGCTGGCTTGATGAGGAACCTAATTTAACAATAGAGTTGGAAAGGGCTTTGGAGGTCCTCTAGTCTAACCCACTGCTCAAGCAAGAGACTGTGTACCATTCTGGACAAATAGTAATAGCACTTAGACTTATATACCAATGCTTTACATTGCTTTACAGCCCTCTCTAAGTGGTTTACAGAATCAGCATGTTGCCCCCAACAATCTGGATCCTCATTTTACCGACCTCAGAAAGATGGAAAGTTTGATCGAACTGCTGGCAGTTGGCAGAATTAATCTGCAATACTGCATTCTAACCACTGTATCACCACGGCTCTAGTGGATATAGGTAGGTAGGTAGATAGGTAGATAGATACCCTGTTTCTCCAACAATACAGCCTCCCCCAATAGGAAGTCCCAGCATGTTTTATAGGCATGAAATTAAATTAAGCCCCTCCCCCCAAATTAAGGCCTATATTAAAACATGCAAAATGGGGGGAATGGTGGTGGGGGCTTGCCATTAGTAAGTACTTTTGTTGCACACCCGGATATGGTGCTGCCTGCATTGACCCCAATACGAAGTGTCCCACCAACGCCGAGGTCAACATCCAAGCCGTCGCCGCCCGCCCGAAGATGCAAGGGGGGGAAATTAAGTCACCCCCGAAAAGACGGCCTAGCCATTTTTTCAGGGCTCAAAAAAAAATAAGACCCGGCCTTATTATATGAGAAACACGGTAGATAGATAGATAGATAGATAGATAGATAGATAGATAGATAGATAGATAGATAGATAGATAGATAGATAGATAGATAGATAGATGATAGTCAGGATTCTGCAGTTACCTTCCTATTTTACCTTCCCATTTTTTATAAACTTTTTAGAGTTGCCAGGTAGATAGATGGATGGATAGACAGACAGCAATAGCCCTTAGACTTATATACTGTTTTACGATGCTTTACAGCCCTCTCTAAGTGCTTTACAGAGTCAGCATCTTGCCTCCAACAAGCTGGGTCCTCATTTTACCCACCTCGGAAGGATGGAAAACTTGAGCTGGTCAGGATCGAACTGTTGGCAGTTGGCAGAATTAATCTGTGATACTGTATTCTAACCACAGTACCAGCAGGGCTCTGGTGGAGATAGATAGATAGATAGATAGATAGATAGATAGATAGATAGATAGATAGAT